ATGAGACAAAATCTAAAATATATTGTTGGCCAAACAAGCCCTAATAATTTGCAATTTGCATGCTGGGGATTCTTGTTTCGTTCTTCTTAAAACTTCGGCCACGGAAGCTGCACATCCTTTTATTTGCTTGGCCATGGAAGTATTGATTCCTACAAAATAAAAGGACAAACAAGAGGAAATTAATTTAGAGGTCCATGTTATGTTCTCGTTTATGACATTTTATTGTTCATTATATATCATCTCTGTAAAAAGGACTAAAATGTATACTTTTGATTGAAAAAAGAGTTTTTGTTACAAAGAAAAGAAGCAAACGCCTATACTACAAGTTCAAGGCTTTAATTACAAGTTCTTTGTCAGTGAAATGAGAGTGCAATCGCAACACATGAAAGAACGTTATTTTCTTTCACCCAAAAAAAAAAAAAAAAAAAAGAACGCTATTTTAGATGCCTCCCCTCACAAGCCAATTCAAAAGAAAAAAAAACTAAAAATTGAACTTTTTTTTTTTACTTTAATTCGAATAAAAGGGTTTTTAGAGTTCAAACTCAACCCACAAAATTTTGTTTATCCATATTTTACTAGAGAATCGTGTTTTTTTAGTATTGTTTTTTCTTAAGTAAAATATAATTAACTAGTAGAGTATGGTTTAATTAATTGCAAACAGTTTGGGGTAGTTCGGTTGGTGAAATTTGCTTGATGGTCGTGCATAGTGCAAAAAGATTCAGTTAACATAAATTTAATTATTTATGTGTAATTGGGTCTTTTCATCGGATGTTTGGCCTATTAAAACTATGCAACACGGTACATTGATACTTTTATTATATGATGCATTTATTTGTAGTAAAGAAGTTAACCATATTATATTCAGGTATAAATTGTACTTCATCTGTCTTAAAATTATTGTCTAGTTTGAGGTTTCACTTTTAGTACAATTTAGATTAGAAATGAAAATCTAAAGTGGACAATAATTATGGGACGGATGGAAGTATGTATTTTGTGGCTGTAATTCTTTTTACCTATCTTGAAGAGCGAATTGGGCGGAAAGTGCATACTTGTATCTAAAACCCGAGATGGGTTGCCTCGATTAGTGAAAAGTTCTGTTCATAATAAAACACCGATGGATTGCGTGGAAGAAGCAAAGTAACAGCTTGAAGTGAAATGTCTCAGTCGTATGTTATTATTTGGTGACGACACTGTGCGCAAATAGTCAAAACCTTTTTAATTTGTGGATGTCATATCTTAATCATGTCGAATTGCTAGCTTGTCCGATGTCTCTAACTGATGCTCCAACGTTAAATCCAACGAACGTGGAGGATTGAAGCAATTCACTTAATGGACAAAAATGGTGCACATTTTCACATAACTTTGAATCTATATATTTAGATTCTTCATTTTATTTTTAAATTTTTTAAAAATTATTTATACAATGTAACCAATAGTCCTTTATCAGTAAAAGACAGAAAAATAACATCGGGCAAAGGTTAAGTTGGCCACTTCCATGTAATTTGCGCTGTTAAAAACAGAGAGATGGAGAAATAATAACTTATGAAAAGTTTGAAAACTTGAAAATCTTAAGTTTTGTTCATGTGTTTTCGTTTATCGAGCTTACAACTAATTTTAAGTTTTAAAATTGGTCATAGCTAACTTTAATCTACCCCGAAAATGTACCGGTCACAATTAAATGTGAGTTCATGCAATCTTGACTAATACACTTGCCCAATGATCTAACATTAACAGTGAGCAATCAAATAATCAAATATGGTTGGAAGAAAACTCAACGTTGTTACAGTGCTTATCATGGTTGGCAATGGAATGTCGGCCTTATAGCAACATACTATTCAAATTAATGATTAAAAAAAATAAACACACATTATTTGGATAAGTCTGCAAGAACATCAACTGTAATCAATATGAAAAATTCTCTACCTTCACATAAAATTAATCTTTGTTTTACTGTCGATTCAACAAACTGATTGTGCATGACGAATTCGATCGCCAGTTTAGCTCAGAATGCTTTAAAAAAGAAGTGAAACCCATTGGCTAGTAAGTCTATCAATTGGTTTTTTTTTTCCGTACAGTAAAGGAAACAGTTACTAAAAAATTCTAAACTTTTACAAAATGTTAGTAAGAAACATTAACGATGTCATGGTTCCGTCCGAGTTTTAAAATAGACAGTACGTAGAAAAGGGATTAATTTGGCATGTATTAGGGTACGTAGAAAGGGGATTAATTTGTGGACGTCAAAGTTGCACGTCTGCCATAACTGTATTATTAATGTTGGACGTATTAAAATTCATTCACACATTCATCTCAGGAGCAACTAAAGTAGTATTCCGAATCATTCTCTTCAGTCCTAAATATAAGTCACAAATTTAAATTAATTTTAGTGATAATTTGCTTCTTATAATTAGGACCCACTACAACAAAATGGGCGATTAATACCTTTATGGTGTGACATTTTTCTTAAAATGTGTCTCATTATATGTGTATTAGGACATTTACTAAAAAGTGTTTTATTAAAAATGAAAAAGTGTATGCATATCATGAAACACTATCATAAGTGTACTATGTGGGGTTGCTTGTGAACTATTACCCTACTTAATGGGTCACTTTAAAGTGTCTTAATAAGTGACAATCTAATAATACACTTTTAAATGTTTTATGACTTATTGTGACTCGATTATAAGAGACAATATTTTGTAGTGCCCACGCAATGTGAATCACATTTGTCCTATTACACTACTTATTGAGACACAAAAAAGTGTCTAAACTACGGATTTTTGTTGTAGTGACCGGAAAGAGTACATGTTGTGGTTATATAAGCAAGATATACAGTAAGAAGAAAACTGAAAACCTGCAGGTACTACTTGATGAAAATCTTATAGTACAAATCTAAAGCAAGCTTTTTGTAGTATATATTATAATATTGCAGTTGTCGTTTAGAGTGCACTTAATTAAGTAACGTACGTAATCTCGAAGCATGCGTAGTTCTAGTAGTAGAAGTAGTAGCGTGGAACTGAGAAAGGGTTTGTGGACTTCCGAAGAAGACAATCGATTAAGGAATTGCATCGCCCAGTTCGGCGAAGGCAAATGGCATCTAGTTCCCAACAGATCAGGTAAGAAAATGCTTCATAATATTATTCAATTGATACAATCGATCCAACGGCTTTTTTTGGTAGTGAGAAATCCTGAAGGACGTAGAACAACGTTGAAACTAACTGCTTTTCTATATATGCAGGTCTGAATAGGTGCAGGAAAAGTTGCAGGCTAAGGTGGCTGAACTATCTGAAGCCAGATATAAAGAGGGGAGACTTCAGTTCTGAAGAAGTTGATCTCATGATCCGCCTTCATAAGTTGTTAGGCAACAGGCAAGTTTTTATACTTTCATATTCACTCTTTGATCATTGATTAGGTTACTCCATCCTCCGTCGTCCCATAACGATTACCTTTTGACAAAATCATCTTGGTTCAATAAGTGGAATGTAAGTGCACTGTATATGCATCCTGATCCTAGAAGTATTAAATAAAATTCGTTTTGAAAGATCATATAGTACAATATTTTTCTTTCTCGTTGAAGATCACATAGTATCTCTTAGTTATGTATAATGATACCCCCTCCGGTCTTTAATATAAGGTATTTTGATTTGTCCTAAATTTAACTTAGTATGTATTTTTAATTGACAAAAAAATCTTTAAAATATTTCATAATAATCATGAGAATACAACGAACCTGAAACTATATTTTTAAAGTTTTTTCGTCAATTAAAAATACTTATTAGGTGAAATTTAGGACAAAATCAAAATGTCATAATTAAGGACCGGAGGAAGTAATAAACTAGGCCGTGGAAAATAATTATTAAACAGGGTTACTCAAATAAGTAGTTAATCGCTGATAATCCGGGAGCTTGACTTCTTCAATTTTTCCAAAAAATAAGTAGTCAAAAATAGTTCAGGAATAAGGGATTGGCGAAATCCGATTTTATGGTGATATTGGATTGTTATAATCCGATTATTATGCATTTGCGAAGGCTAATATCGATTTGACAAATCTGATAATTATATTTTTATTAACTTCTCAGTTTTTAAACTATTCTTAGCTTTTTTTTTTTTTGTTAATATTATGTTTTGGTCAAAAACCCCCGATGATCCCACAAATTAAGTTTGTCCACCTTATATATCTATCACCTCTTTGAAGTTTGAAATCCTTACAAACTTTGGAAAATTAATGAAGTACGGGTAGTACCTCCTTATAAATTAATAGAAAAGAATAGTACTCCATTGATTTTAGTTTGTCCACCTTAGGGCAAGAATTCTGTTCAACAAAGCCGAGTCAACGAAGCCGCTAACTATATTTAATTGATTCCCTCTCTTGAGTATTCTTTTTTGTTTTTTTTTTCCCCCGCCCACCATGGTCAGTTAATTAGTTTTTTTTTTTTTTGGAGAAAAGTTAATTAGTTTTCATTTTCTCACCAGATGTCCAAATTTACTTTTTTTTTCTTCCTTTTTAAGATAATCCTATACTATTACATTTATGTGGTTTAAATTTACTTATGTACTTAGGATATCCCCGGTTTTATATAATAAAAAAGCGTACTATATACTAGTTCACATGTGGCAAGTTGTCTTACGATAACATAAAACATTCCGGCACCCAAAACGGAAAAAATCAACCTCTCTCCTAAAAAGTAAAAGTCATAATCATTTCCACTTTTTTCCATATAATAATAAAACACAGGTGGTCACTGATAGCGGGCAGACTTCCTGGAAGGACAGCAAATGATGTGAAAAATTATTGGAACACTAATTTGGTGAGAAAGGGTGTTGCCATCAGAGGAGGAAGAGCGATAGGAGCTCCTCCACAAGAAAAGGTGGGCAACTTGGCAGAGTCTGACAACGGCAGCGCCCCACCGGTCACAGTCAAGCCTCGGCCCCGGTCCTTCTCCAAAAAAGCTTTCAACAAAAACAAAAACAAAAACAAGGACGATTCGGCGGTGGTTGACGGGATGGCAAGGAAATCATCAGCTCCTCCATCATCATCATCATCTCCTCCTCCTCCTTCTTCTTCAGTATTGTTATCCCGACAATATGACAAGGACGGTATAATGAATGACGATTATGATCAACGCATCAATATCTGGTGGGACTGTTTGGATCCTGAAAATCCTGAAATTGATATTTATGATCATCATCATTTTAACACATGTCCTTCGTCCTTTGGTGGGGGCTCCGGCTCGACATCGATTGTTGATAACGATTTCTCAGCAAGCCTACCACCCGGCCCGGACCCACAACTTTATTATTTCTCCCAGTTCGGTCAAGGGGAGGAGGTGGTGGTTGAAGAAGGTGGCGCCGCCGCCGCCGCCCTTGGTGGTGATGATGATGAAGAAGATTTATTTGGTTGTTCTTCTTCTTGCTCGGGTCTTTTCTCACCAGATTCTGATTTCTGGGGTCTGCTGTCCTAGTACTACTACCAACCATCATCATCATCAGGAACAACCGGCCGCCGCCGCCACCTTGGTCCTCTGATTAATTTACTTCTCTCTTTCAAGGATTTCGATATGGTATAAGTAGTATTACTGTTCGATATGGTATAAGTATTTTCAGTTTATCTGCAGCTAGCAAACCCAGAAATAGCACAGAAATTTGGATATTCCGTCTCTCAGCAAATGCCTGTAAACCATATCCTCGTCATGGACATGCATGGTTGGCATGCATTAACTAGTTGATTGGATTACAAAGATCGATCTTTGTTTGAACATCATCAAATCTTATGTGTGTTACTTTCGTTAAATCATATGAACCTCGACATATGTTATTAACGTTTCTATTTCCATTGGTAACAATGGTTTGTAAAACCACGAGGACAAATCATGGTTGAAACATGGTGTAATAGAGAGGTATTGTAAAATATGGAGTATTAATCTTGGCATATGCCGCCTCTTTCATTGTAAAATAAAAAAAATAATAAAAAAAAAAGATTCTGTTTCGCGATTTTCATTTTTGTTTCTTTTTTTTATATATTTTTTTTAAGAAACGTAGGGGGGAATTATTGTGTCTAGAATGTAAAAGTATAAAAGTATAATCTAGAAAAAAACTCTCTTCATTCTAAAATAAGTGTCATTCTACAACTTGCACACGCTTTGAGGAATACTTGAAAGAGGTAGATAAATTATTAAAATATTTTTAATTAACCCCATTAAAATAAATTTTTATCAATAATATTATTTATTTTGAGAATAATTTTGAAATTTTTTGATAAAAAGTGCATTGGAATAAAAAAATACACATATTTTGAAATTTTTTCATCTTACTAAAACAACACTTATTTTGGGATGAATGGAGTAATATTCTAAGGTTGAAACCAAATATATTTTGTGAAATGGGTTAGAATCGTGAGAGGGTTGTTCCTACAGTGGGAATTAAGAACCCAAAAAAAAAAGAAAAAAAAAACCCTTAAGGCAAGATATTTTCCCAAAAAAAAAAATTAAGAAATGCGTCATAACCACACTACTGATGATTGTATTTATCCATTTAAATATAGATTATGCTGGAGAAGTTCGTGTATCAAGTACAACTTATATCATCGTTTCTTTATCTGTCACATTACGGTATACACATATATTAAGAAAATAATGAAAGAGATTTTAATTTTTAATTAATGATAATACATTTTTTGTCCTTAATTAAATGTATTGGGAGTATACAAAAATTTGAAACGGAAGTAATAAATTTATAGTTTTCATTAAATAGAGAGAAAAGAGTAGAGTTGAAAATTTGTATTTAATTCTGCATTAAAATGAAGTATGAAGGACCAAAAAAAAAAGGTATGAATTCACCGTAATACAATAAATGAAAAAAGTGGAGGCAGTGGTGTTATATATAATTTTATAACACACAAGTTTGAAATAAATTTAGTTTTTAGTGTTTTATAAATAGGTTCAAATTGAGTGTTTAATTTGCCAATTATTTAAAATAACATAGTTAAAGGTAAGAATGCAAAAAGCATGCAAAAAAAAAAACATGGGATAATTAGGTCTTAATTAAACCCTAAAATGATTATGTACTGCGATAAATCTTGGTGAAAAATTTGAATCTGGACAGTAATGGTAAGTAATTGGAGATAAATAAAGTATAAATCCTCTCTGCTCTACTACTGCCTGGTGCATGGACCTCAAACGTAATTTATTATCAAACACATAATCGAATCGAGCCATTGACCACCCTATGCTAGGTTAGAAACTAGAAAGTGTGTGCAGTGTGTGTAAAAAAGGTACTACTCATATTTCTACGGTTGGTATAGATGTTGTATATGGTGTTACAAGAACAAAAAAATATCGTACACATGTTCTCTGTCTGAGATAGGCGAAGGTGACACTTTTGTAGTCATCCTCTTTTGTGATTACCACATTCCTATCACGTACTTGGAACACATTTAACCGATTTTGTCTTCAAATCCCAATTTGAACTGTACTTTTATTAGTCCTCGCCCTTGTTTACCAAAAGAGAATACCACTCAAAGGTTGTGGCTTTCATGTCTTCAACAACTTAACTTTAGTTGATGAGGTTGTGATTAGTTAATTACCATTTAAAAACCAATTAAGTTTTTTTCCGAACATTATGTCTAACCCCTTTGTTGTTTGTTTAGACAGAACTTGTGGCGTATCTCATTTCACCTTTCAAGATGTACTGTATATTGAACCCCTAGGTTATGATCGAGTTAAATTTCTTTTTATTAATTTGTGGTGTTCAAAACCAGGCATTCACTAAGCAATGTAGTTTAGGGAAAAATTTAATATATAGTAGATGTAAGCACTTTTCCATGCAATTAATCATTAGAGAATTAATGTTAAAGTTTTCCTCAATGTATCAAGCTGCACAACCGTTGCACCCAACAAAAATAGCTCATATACGTGACAATTCACAAAACTAGTGTTTTTTTTAATAGTGGTTTTACAATTGGTAGTTTCTAAAACTATAAAGTTGGTCTTTCAGGCCTTCACCAATTAAACTCACAAAACAGAGAACCAAAAAACAAAGGAAACACACATAAAATTAACTAAAGGGACGGATGTGCTGCCATTAACAATAAAGTCAGCAAACAAAAATTTCAAAGAAAGTAGAGAAAAGCGAATTAAAATGCAAGTTATCTGGATAAAAACTGTCTTCCACTAAACCTTCGATTTTTATCCTCAAACCCAGTGGTGAACAGAGGTAATTCCAGTAAGTTAGGTCTTGTTTGGACAACTTTTATTTTGTCATTTTATCTTATTTTATCTTTTAAAATACCTCTCAAACATAATTTTTTAATTTACTTTTTAAAATTTATTTCAAACAATATTTTTACACAACTTTTATCCACAACCACCGAACCACCCCCGTCGCCACCAGACCCCCCACTGCCGCCGCCGGTCGGCGGCCGATCGGCCGAATTTCGGCCAGATTCTGGCAAGTAGGCCGGAATTTGGCCATAATACAGCTGGCCGGCGGTGGTCCGGCAGCGGCAGTGGACGGTCTGGCGGTAGCACCGATGATGGAGGTTGTCCGGTGACGGTGTAAAACTATTATTATTTTATTTAAAATATTACCCAAATAACTTTTTAAATTTTCTTTCAAATCACCATTTAAATCACATCTCAAATTCAAATCAAAAACTAAAATAAACCATTGTCCAAACAAGCCCTTAGTTGTTACGACGGTCGAAGAAGCTTAGGCTCCGTTCGTTTCATTTTTTTTGTTGATTTTTTTAATTGAATTTTTTAATAATTTTTTCATCTCAGCATATCATTTTACATTTTTAATACACATTTTTATATTCTTAATACGAAAAATACTTAAAAACAGACACTAAAAAAAATCAAATAACCTAAGGGACTAAGAAATTAAAAGAGAAGGGAGAAATATTGGGCACTGCTGAACTACAGACACTGATTTCAATACCTATCTCATTTTGTAGCCCAATTGGTCAAGGTGAAAACAATGGTCAGACATATTGGGTTTTCTAGGATTTCAACTTAATAAGTACGGCCCGACTTAATCAAGCGTGTTTCATGAATACTGGAATTGTGAGTAATGGTTGTGTATGTCACTCTCGTCAATGAAGTATTGTGGCAGATCCTTTAGTAAAATTTGCTTCTCATGTCTAATATAACTAAGAATAATGAAAGATATAACTTTCGTCCCGAAATGATTGTGCAGTTTAAATTTTTTGTTTTAATCAAAATTCTATTAAAATTAAAAATTCAAATTGAACAATAATTTGAGGATGAAAAGAGTACATGGAATATCCGACTAGAAAATTTACAAGAAATGTTGTGATTAAATCTTAATTATCTCTTATGTGAAAGGGCGAACTACAATTTACCCCCCAAGTTTTAGTCCCTTCTACCATAACCCCCGAGTTTCGGTAATACTACCATTTACCCCCTGAGCAAGGTCAAACATGAAAATGACTAAAATGACAATGGTTTACATGCATTCCATTTCCTTTTGTTTTTTTGGTTTTTCTTTTGATTTTTTGACCATTAAAAATGAAAATTAATTAAAATTTGATATTTTACTTCTAATTACAACAATTTAATAAATAAAATTTAATTCATGATTAATAATATTAAATTAATTATGTTTTATAAAAAAATTAATTACTGAAGATTATTTTATTTAAGAATATATGATATAATTAAGTTTGAGAATTTATTATTATGTGCATTAACATGCATAAAAGAATTAATATGGACTATTTTTTTAACTTAATTTTTTTTTCAAAAATATTTAAATTGTATAATTTAAAAAATAAAACTAAAGGGTATTTTTTACCGTTTACACAAAGTGGATGAAAATATTAGTATGATAAGGGGGATTTAGTGGGTTGACTAGGAGTCAAGGGGGTAATGGTAATATTACCAAAACTTAGGGGAGGGGGGTTATGATAGATTGAGTCAAAACTCGGGAGTAAAATGTAGTTCGCCCTACTTTAAAATTGATCCATTCATCATTATAAAAGTTCCTTACAAATTTTCCCTGCTCATACCTTGTATTATTCTATAACTAAATCACATTTTGTCAATGTTTCTTTCTTTCTCTATAATTTGTGATAGGAAGTAGAGAACCTATTTTCATCCCAAAAATTAAATGGACGTTCTGTATCCAAGCTTCCGGCTTTTTATTATATATAGGATTTTCTTTGTTCTAAAGAAAGCTCATATAATATTTTGAATTTGTTCCAAAAAAATAGTTTAAATTGAATGTTGATATTTGTATTATTTATATATATGGAGTTTTAAAATTTGTATAAATATAGACTATGTTATGAGACGGGAAGAATACTATTCAATGTTCATTACTACATAGTCACAAATACTGGTCGCATAATTAACAATCATCCGCAATGGTGTTTATTTATTTTTGGGTTCATTTCAGCATTCGTAACCAACATTTTACAGTCTCAATATGCTTGTTACTCTTCTTTAGAAGTACTAACCATGCCAAAAAGTTTAAGACGAAATGGTTTAATTTTACTAGTCTAAAATTGAAGCGGTATTGACCTCGAGATGAAAACGTCAAGAAGATTAATTTTAAACTGCAGATGTGTTAAATAGATTCCAATTTAGATTGTTTGAGGTTGTACAGTGCTTGTTCTAGTTTTGAAGAGGTTAAAATACATTTACCTTTTACCGAAAAGGAAAAAAAAAACGAAATTAACTTGTTCCTATTTTTCTACATATCGATGGTTGATCCTTAATTGCTGCCGGGCTTCCTTGATAAAAAAAAATGAGAAAAACTACCGAATTACTCATCACCCGGGGAAAAGAAGTAAGTAAACAAAATTAATTAAGATCAAATTGTGAAAAATAACGCAAGGGATAATCTATTTTATTAAATTAAAACAAAACAAGAGAAGTAATTTACGTGATTATCAATCAACAAAGCTGATAGAATAAGGGTTTAGGGTATATATATATATATTATATATCAACATTATAACTAATTAGTTTAAGATTATGTCTCAAAATTATAGTCGCTATATACATCATATTCCTTCGATTCTAATTATGAGATACAAATTTAAATTAATTTTAATATTAATTTATGTATTATAATTAAGAATACAATTCTATCATTTTATCCAGGCACGTACATATAGGTTTGTTCAAACTGGCAGCTAGCTAGTACTGTGACTCTGTGAGACTGTCCATTAACACATTGGAAGTGATTTGTGCGTTAAAACCACCACACAAACAAGTAGTTTTGCAATTTCCAACAAGTAAAATTAAGTCACCAAGGTTTTTAAACCTTCGTACGCATTTTTGGCAAGATAATTTGTTCTACTAAAAAAGAAAAAAGTATGTACTAAGTCAGCCACAAGATATCACATCTAGAAGAAAAGTATCCAGATAAAAGAGAGACACAAATTCCTTGTAAAAAATTGAGCGTGTCAAAAATTTAATCAGAAAAAAAGTATGTACTTATCACTCTCTACAGCCCCAAAGAAGTTAAGTTCCTTGTCAAAAATTTTAATTTCGGAAAAAAAATCACATCTATCTATATATTCTCTCTGTCTCAAAATTATTGTCCAATTTGAGATTTCACTTATGTACAATTTGAACTAGAAATGAAAAAACTCAAAATGAACAATAATTATGGGGACGGAGGGAGTAGTTTATTATAAGAGGATACTACAGAGAGAATAAAATTTATTTTTAGGATGTCACCTAAGATGATATTCATAAAATTCATTTTTAGGATGTCACATAAAACTAAATCTTATGTGTAATTTTCTAATACACTCTTCTAAAAATATCATATTGAAATTATGAAAAAGTCCTCAAATTTTAGTGATAATAGCCAAAGAACTCTTGATGCCTTTTTGATTTCTGACTTTTTTGTAAACGAAATACATTGGCCTGAATTTAAAATGTACACAATGTATGAAATTACGTATATACGTATGGATATGGCTGGCAAAAATATCCAAATCCATTGGAATCCTCAATGGGATTACTATTAAATGGGCGGGTAATACCGTTCATATTTTAATAGACACATACGGATAGGTGTTAATTATGGGTGAGTAAATATTGAGTTTGGAACTGGGTCTTATTGGGACCTTTTGGGCATGAATTTGATTTTTTCTTTTTTCTTTTTTTTTTGCCCCAGTTATTTTGACAAACCAAACTAGCATTCTTCCACCACCTTTTAATTACGGATCAATTAGCATAGTAACGTATACTTTGTATTTACTTGCTAATTGCTATTTGATTCGAACTATTGGCTTTTTGTTTACCATCTGTCCAAATCCAATACCATTATATTATTCCCGCTTCCATCCTTTTTAATATTTTACTTTTTAAACTATAATGCACTTCATTTAGCAAAAATAAAAGTAAATCAAAGAAATTAATTTTTTTTATTGTGTCTACGCGAATAATATGGAGATATTGATAATAAAAAGTACTCCTTTTGTACTAAACAAAATAGTCAAGGTCGAATAAATATAAAAATAGTTTGAAGTAAGATCCTCAAAAAAATCTAATCTGTTTATAATGTTGTTGCCATGCTACTTTGAAAAAGGATGAGTGTCCACCTTCACTCGGTTGATTTGTTTTTATGACCTTAGTGCAATTATTAATGTCGAAAATTCGAAATCTTAAAGTTAATTGATAAGTTGTCTCTAGAGACGAATTTGTATGAGCATTTTCTAGCCAAAAAATTCCATGTATGATTCTAGGGAGTCCATTTTTCGTTTATGAATCTCGAGCATGAAATCTTGTAGGTTCTGTAGGGTTTGATCTAATTCAAGTAATTCTTTCCTTTATGAAATTAAAAAGACAAAAAAAAAAAAGGAAGAGAAAAAATGATAACAATAGAAAATCAAAAATTATGTCTTCAAAAAAAGAAAAGATAGATGATAATGGGAATTATCCCATTGGGATCCCACTAATTGTACTTCTTGGGATTCCAATGGGTATGTGAATACTCATTTTCCCATTCCTGTCCATACCCACTTGTGTATAAAATAATTAAGTAGGTGAAATCCTATACCCAATAATATCTCACTCATTAAATACCCATCAAATACATGCCCTACTTGCCAAATTGCCAGCTTTACGTATGTAATGCAATTTTTTCTTGATTTGTCAGTAATGGATGCTCAATTTATTTATTTTACCTTTTCATCAAACATCTATTTTCGATTCTCAGCAAATTGTTTTGTTTATCTTCATATTTATCAAGTGTGAATTTTTCTATCCCGTATTAAACGGTTTAACAATTACTCCCTTCATTCACAAATAGATGTCGTTGGAAGAAAATCCAAATATTCCAAAATAGATGTCGTTCTCACAAATCGAGGCATATTTTGTCAATTTTTTCTAATATTACCCTTATATTGGAAATTGTAGTGATGTTTAATGTAGAATTGTATTAGAAGTAAATTTTATTGGAACTACAATTGAATTAAGAATAAATGAGGGTATTATAGTATTTTAACAAGATAATTATTGTCTCTTTAAACTTTGTGAAATCTCTCCAGCGACATCTATTTGTTAATGGAGTGAGTAGTTTAGAACTGTATAATTTCTTTCCGTTAGTTTTTTAATTTGATTTTACTTCAATTCGAGCTGAGCAATTATTTAACTTGCTGTATTCATGATGTGGAAACTCAAGACGACGACAGCGCATCCACTATCATTTTCGTTCAACCTCTCATCATGACTCATCCATTCCCTATTCACCAAAATCCTTCCCTTAGGGGCTCAAATCGCTTCAATCAGTCACTTTGCGGTTTATGAAGTCCAAAGTACAGTGAAAAAAAAAATATACAAAAAAAAAAACCCCAGAGTCATTAAGAGAGAATAGCCGGTAATAAATATAATGTCCTACCAATTTTCTTTCAGTTGGTCCCATCAATTACAACATGTGATTCTTGTATCCCGTGTCTTTGATTTAATATTGCAGGATTTATGTCCTTTTATGCTTTCCAACAGCATAAAATAATCACTGTTAGGGTAGTGTTGAAAAATAGCTACGTTTGCTATTTGCACGTTAGGATTCTTGTTCGTTCTTCTTCAAACTTTGGCCACGGGAGCTGCACATCCTTTTGTTTGCTTTAGTGGTGTCAGGCTCGGAACGGAGTTCGACTCGGCACGGGCAAGAGGTCAAGTGAATCGGAAGTCGATTCGGGACGATTTGGTAATCGACTCGAATAACGTCATAATGATGTAATAAATATTAATAAATAAAAAAATATATTTTAGTAAAATTTTATAAATTTTATATATATTTGTTTATCATTAAACTTATATTAGTGCTTCATAACTTTCAAATGAGTTTTGATAAAATAAAATTATGACATTAGCTAAATCATTAGTTTAAATTAACTTTTACTCGCTCCATTTCACAAAAATAGTTTAGTTTCAAAATCTACAATTTTTTATTTTGAGTCAACTTAATCTAGATACAACTCAATTTAAGCTTCAAACTTCTGTTTTTCTATTTATCTTATTTGTCTCTGTCCCCGTCGTCAAATTCTGGAATTTCTCAAGACCCATTTGTACGCCGCCGCAACTCCTTTTCGTCCCCGGAGACCTCATCAGAGCTGAATCGCCGACATGAACTCCATAAACAATCATTAGAACCACACCAAATCGACGCCTTACTCTTCTCATCATCTTCTCTTATTTTCTAACGAAAAAGCCATGGACATTCATAATTTTCTAATAGGAAATCAGACCAGAAAAGGCAACACAGCAGCCATATCCATCCATCTGCTTAAACAACAACAAGAAGAGAAAGAGTTTATGCCAAAAAAGAAGAGGATAAAAAACGATTCTATTAACTGTCATTGCTGCCAGAGATGGGAAACAGAGCAAATCCAAATCGGGAGCGGCAACGGAAATATGCTCCTTGAGCTAGACACTGTGGATCTTGCGGCAAATTGGTAAAGTAACAGAGGATCTAAACAGATGGTAATAGAATAGTGATTGGTATATAAAAAATCAATCTTGCTGAGACAAATAACATTGGAGGAATTACCGGTGGTGGCGGCGGCGTTTGGGTGGCGGCCGATTAGGGAACCACGATTTGGGAACCACAGTTTTAATTTGACCTTGGTTTTTTTTAGGCGCTTTAGTCATTTCAATGAAATTTAATTTTGACTTTATAAAATTGGACTATTTTTTTGACAAGATTTTTTTATCAAACCGGATTATTTTTGTGGGACAAAAAGAATATTATAATTAAAAAAATAAATAAATTTGATACATTATTGACTTTTATCAATTAAAAAATTATATTGCATGTTTAAAAAATATTTTCTTTACTTTAGTTTAAAATTATCAATATTGCTTGAGTTATACATATTTAATTTTTGTTCTAAATAACGATTATAACTCAATTTGATATGTATGATGTGTGATGAATGATTAATTCAAAAATTTAGACTTACAAATTTAAAATTAAGAGTTTAAACTTACAATTATAAAAGTTAGGAGGTCATTAAATGTGTAAGGAATCTAGTTGAGGGCTAAAAGTGAAAAATCAGCTTCAATAAACCTCAAAAATAATACAAAAAAATTTTAAAATTTAAAAATAAACTCAAAAGTTAAAACCCAGTTTGACCCAGGTTAGACCAATTTCTGGTTTAATCGAAATCTTGACCGGTTTTGACCGAGTTTTATTTAGGCGATTTTATCACCTGCTCGGCTCGGCTTGAAGTCCGGTTCCCAATTAACCCAATTCAACCGGCTGGTCCAAGCCGAGTTTAACAACACTGGTTTGCTTGGCCATGAAACTGTGGAGTGGCTTTATTAATTAATCTGCGTCTGTTGTGGACATCAACGTTGCACGTCTACCTTAACTGTTATTAATATTGGACCTATTAAAATTCAGTCACACATTCATCTCAGGACCATGTAAAAGTACTAAATTGCTATAGTTATATAAGCAACATATATAGGATGAAAACCTGCAGGACGTACTTGATGGAAAATAATCTTATACAATTCTAAGAACGCTTTTTAATACTATAATATTGTAGTACTAGTTTAGAGTGGCCTTACTAGTTTCAACTGCACTCAAGTAACGTACGTAATCACGAAACATGCGCCGTTCTTGTAGAAATAGTGCGGAACTGAGAAAGGGTTTGTGGACTGCAGAAGAAGACGATCGTTTAAGGAATTGTATTGCCCAGTTCGGCGAAGGCAAATGGCATCTCGTTCCAACAAGAGCTGGTAAGAAAATGTTTCAACAATTGAATGGATGAAGGTCTTTTTGGTAGCTAGTGTGTTATGCATGTTTTATGTATGCAGGGTTGAACAGGTGTAGGAAAAGTTGCAGGTTAAGGTGGCTGAATTATCTGAAACCAGATATAAAGAGGGGAGACTTCAGTTCTGAAGAAGTTGATCTCATGATCCGCCTTCATAAGTTGTTAGGCAACAGGCAAGTTTTTAATACTTAAACAATCATTCTTTGATAATTGGTTACTCCATCCTCTCTCTCACAAAATGATTATCCTACAACAAAAATCATCTTGGTTAAATAGAATGCAAGTATCTATTTAGAATTCTATTTTAAGGATCACATAGTACATTTATTCCTTTTCTTTTTGAAGGAAAAAGAAAAAAGGAAAAAAAAAATACTCCCTCCATCCCGAAAAACAATTGATTTGTTATATTATTTTAGTTCAAATTAATGTTCAACGGAGTCAAATACATAAAAGCGTAAAGGGAAATCGAAAAATACATGAAGGGAAATCTAAATATACTCTACACGGTTCATTCGGAATGGAAGGAATACTTTTTATTAATGTAGGACAGTAAACTTTGGGTGTGGCAAATGTATTAAACATCTTAAAGTGAGACAAAGAGATATATCCCTTGAAGTATTTAATAAATCACACTCTTTTTTGTATTCTTTTTTCTTTTCTTTCTTTTTTTTTTGTTTTTTAAAAGTAAAATTACAGTCTTGTTTGTATGTTTGTTTCCGTAGGTTTTCTCACGTATACTTGGATTAATTCCCTTTTATGGAAAAGCGTACATGTGTCGAGTTCTCTTCCGGAATAACCAGAAACGTTTTAGCACAACCACCCAAAATGGGAAAAATCCTGCAAAAATCCCCTAACAGTGTCTTGCTTTCCACTTTTTCCCATAATAATGATATATAGGTGGTCACTCATAGCGGGGAGACTTCCTGGACGGACTGCAAATGATGTGAAAAATTATTGGAACACTCATATGCTGAAAAAGACTGTTGCAACCAGAGCGACAGGTGCAGAAAAGGTCAAGTTGGCAAACTCTGACAGCAACGGCAATATTATAAGCAGCAATACAACAACCAGCAGGCCATTCAAGCCTCGGCCCCGGTCCTTCTGGAAACAAACTTACGACAAAAACAACCAAAAAAAGAAGGACGATTTGGGCGTGATTGAGGGGATCGGAAGAAAATTAGGTGCTGCTGGGGGAACCCCCTTACGGCAGGATTCACCTCCTTCTTCCACCACTTCATCCTTGCAAACTGACAAAAATGGTATTAATTGCGATGGCGAAGGAGGCATCAAGTACTGGTGGGACAATTTGATTGATCTTGATGATCCTGAAAATGATCCTTACTACTTTTATGATGATAATGATAATAACATATGTCCTTCGTCCTTTGGTGGGGTCTCTGGCGCCGGCCCGGAATCGATTCCGGATAATGATTTCTCGACAAGCCTAATGAGCTGCCCAGATCCCCAAGGTTATCTGTCGTCCAAGTTCGTTGAGGGGGAGGAGGTAGTGGTTGAAGAAGGTGGCGCCGCCGCCGCCTCTAACTCCGCTGCCTTCCTCCGCGGTGATGAAGAAGAAGAAGCTAATATAATTGGTTCTTCTTACTGCAGCTCCGGTTTGTTCTCGCCTGATTCTGATTTCTGGGGTCTGCTGCTCAGTACTACTGCTACTGATCATCAGTTTCATCAACCGGCCGCCGCCTTGGTCCTGTGATTAATTATATAACCTCTCTTTCAAGCTTTTCAATGCTTTTAAGTATATTACGTACTCTGTGTTAGGGTTCTTTCGTCTCTCAGCAAATGCCTGCCAACCATATCCTCGTCATGGACGTGGTTGGTATGCATTGGTTGATGGAATTACTTAAGTATCCTGTTTCAACATCATCAAATTGTTATGTGTGTTTAAGTACTTCCATCTCAGTTCGACTTTATATTTATGAACCTCGATAAATGTTTGTCCATGTTTTTGTGTTCATTTTTATTGTTTAAAACTGTAAAATTTCTGTTGAAAATGTAGCGGATAAAAAATGTGCTGGGAATATTGTAAGAATGTCAAATTATTACTGTCTTAAATACCAATGAAACAATTATAGATTTTGAGCCCAAAATTTAAGCGTGCGAGGGGGGGTGTTCACAAAGACCCTGTACTAGAAAATTAAAAACAAAACTGCATAACCTTAATAATTAAGCACCATGTAAATTGTAAACCCTAAGTTATGATGGGGGAATTCGTGTATGACGGACTTTGTTGTTAACTATTTCCTCTGGTATTATTTGTAAGAAGACTAAAGCTCACACCATACTTTATAAATAAGGATCATAGTGAATATTTTTTAGTAATTAATTTTAACAATAGTACTGTAACTTTTATTTATTTTGTAAATCGTAACCAATAAATGTTAAAGCTAACAATCACAAACAATTAATTAAAATTAATTTTTCGAGGTATACTGTAATTCACTGGGATAATTAGGAGTATTAGTTAAACCCTAAAACAATTACTGTATTGAGATAAAATCTGATCAGTGAAGTATCTGAATCTGGACAGTAAAAATAGTAAATAATTCGTGATAACGAAAATAGTCATTGCTGCCTATTACTACCTAGTGGTAGAATGACCTGAAGCGTAATTTGTTTTCAAACACATAAATTGAATAGAGCCATTGACCACCCTAGGCTAGGGTAGAAAGTGTGCTGTGTGCGTTAAAAAAATATTGTAGTAATATTTCTACGGTTAGTATTAGAAGCAGTACTAGTTATTACTCCCCGGCCCAAAATTATTATCCAGTTTGAGTTTTACTTTCTAGTACAAATTGTACTAAAAATAAAAACTCAAACTGGACAATAATTATAGAACGAGGGAGTATAATGTTAAGAACAAAAAGTTTTTCGTACACATGTCGTTTGTCTGAGATAGGCAAAGGTGACAGTTTTGAAGTCTTCCTCTTCTGTGATTACCAACATCCCTATCGCGTCCTTGCGACACATTTAACTCTTTTGTCTTCAAACCCCAATTTGAACTGTACCTTTACTAGTGTTTTACCCTTGTTTGCCAAAAGACAATACCACAGAATGATGTGGTTCTCATGTCTCCAACGACTAACTAAAATTGATGAAGGTGTTGATAGGTGGATATGGTGGAAGCTGTGATTAATTAGTTACTTTTTCTGCTATTGATACGAATCTCAAAATTTAATTTGGACTAATTTTTAAGAACATATAAAGTACCATTTGATAACCAAATTTTTTCAGGAGATTATTTCTAACTCCTTTGTTATATATTTAGGCAAAAATTGGGGCGTATCTCATTTGACCTTGGAAGGATGTATATAGAACAACTAAATAAACGATCGATGCTCACCAACTTAGAGGGTTATGATCGAGTTGATTTTCTTTTTGATTGTGGTGTCCAAAACCGGGGATTCAATAAGCAATGTAGTTTGCAGCCTACATGAATAGCTCATATACTTGACCATTAATTCACAAAACTAGTCTCTCTAAAAAAAAAAAACCCTTTCCCCTCTCTCTCCAAAAAAAAACCACCGCCCGGCTCCTCCTCCCCCAACCTCCATTAACGGTGGTTGGGGGAGCAAAATTACTCTTTTTTCTTCCATCCACCGGATCTGGTTATTGGCCACCCAATTAAACAGAAAAATACACATCTACCCACTAGCTGTGAAGTACCCGTATCACCGTCGGCGTCATTAACATAAATTGTATGTTGGCGATCTGATTCAATCTCAGGAAAATAGAGTATTGGTCAGATTGAAGCATCGTCGGCACTGCTACTCGTCATCGTCATATCGGTATCGTTTACTCATCTCCATAGGTGATTGTTTCTATTTATCAGATCGGCAGGTGATGTTGTGTTGCTATCTGTTTAATTTAATCTTATTTTATTTTTGTTGTTTTTATCGTTGTGTTTTAATACAATTAAGTGGGATTTCCCGCCCTCAGTATAGATCCTGGTCTGATTTTTTACTGAGCGAATTTAGTGTGCTAATAGAGTCAAGTTTGTTGTTGTTTGCTTTCTGTGACTCGGTAGATCCTGTTCGATATGCTGATTGTCACACGTCGTATTTAATGACGGCTAGTTTGGCCCGAGAATATTCAGTCACAGTGAATCTGTTATCTAGATTTACTAATCTGTTATCTAGATTTACTAATTGGAGCTTGAATCCGATGGTTAGCGACCTACTCGAGTTTAGATTTTTAATCTGTTCCGTCTTATGTCATACAATAGAATCATGCCGTTAGAGGATCTTTCCTCCCGGAAATAGCAACTGCTTGGTGAAAGTTTTATTTTGTATTTCCAGTTGTAATAGTTTAGTGATTAGTTTAGTGATTGTATTCTCCTGTCAGTCGTTGTTGGAGAGCTGATTGATTTCCAACAATCGTAATGAAGTTTTTCTTTCTTTCAAAAAATAAAAATAAAAATTCACAAAACTAGTGTTTTTTATATTTCTAAGTAGCTTTACAATAGTTCATGAAACTATAAATTTGGCTATTCTGGCCTTCGCCAAACTCACAAACAGAGGAAGGGGAAAAGAATCCACTTAAAGTAATTAGCGAAAGGGATGGATGTGATGCCATTAACAATTAAGTCTCCCAATAAAAATTTCAATGAAAACTGAGAATTGGGAATTAAAATGAACATTACCTGGATAAAAATTATGTCCGGCTAATGTTGGGCTTGGGCGCTACTGACCAGACACAGAATTCAATGTCCAGCTCATTTTCTGGCCGAATAGGTCAAGGTAAAAACAATGGCCAGCAATGTTGGGCTTCTATAGGCTTTGTTGAACGTATTAACCAAGCCCAACTTAACCGAGCGCGTTTCATGAATAGTGGTTGTATTATGTATAGTACGTACCCAAACTTCCTATTATGTATATTGTATATGAGAAGTTTTCAATATTTCCCGATCAACTAAACTAATACTTGTCCCATGCGTTGCGTGCGTGTGTAAACTGAGAGGAAAAAAACCGAACCTTCCCTATAATCACCATTGGTCTCACAACTGCCAAATCAAATCGTTCAAACCAAATCAATTAGTGCAATAGTTGAAATTGGCGTGTATATGTCGTGAGTTGAAAGTTTTTATTCAAACAGAAAAGAATCAAAAAACAAAAGAGAAGAAAAGAGAGTAGGATATCAGGCTTAATACCTCCGATGCGACGGTGACGACAGAGGGCATGACAATAGCGGCGACAGCAACGGCAGAGGACAGTGACATAAGAGGCAAAGGAGAGAATTTTGAGATGCAGAAGAAAAAAGATCTTATTTATCTTACATTCATCTTATTTATAGAGAAAGAGAGGCGTATTAGAGAAGATTAAATGAATCGTATTACAAAATATTAGAGATTTGGAAGATTTGATTTTGATATATATTTTCTAAATTTAAATATTTTAAATTTTAAAACGTATTAAAGAAGATAATGATAACATTATTTATTTTTTCGAAAATAAATAAGGTAAATATTAAAATAATAAAATCTGGATTAAGATATTTACCATATTACTTTCACCTTTTAATGAAACTCAAACGTTGAGGCAACACGTATCTCTAAAAGCTATTGATGGTTTAACTAAGCTGAATTAGTTTCTGCGAACCACTCTCTTATTGGATATGTTTTTTTTACTTAAAAATATGTGTTATAAAATGTGCTATGAAAACCGACAAAATATTTTTGGTAATAGTTTTGCGTCACACTCCCTGTGACACTGTTTGAATATTTGACACGTGCACAATTATTTATCCAAATAAATTTATTTACAATTTGGCCCGTGTATTAGTATTAATGATAATAAAGAAGGGAGTTTGTGCAAAAATTGTGTCCATAGTACCAGGCTTGTGCCGGGAAGGAGGAGGCCATGTGTTTGTTGGTTTAGAAGTGTGTCTTAGTTATGTTTCGAGTCTCCTGCTTAGCCGTCAGAGAGTGCGTGTGTGTGTGTGATCTGAGAGGATGAGACGATGAGGTATGGGTTACTAAAAGGAGGGGCGGTGGCAGGGTGGAAATTGGTCGCTTCAGGTTCAGGAAGGTTATATATATCTTCTGCATTGGGCAGTTTCACTCATTCATGCTGCGAATCGCGTTTGATAATTAGTGTTTTTTTTTTGTTAAATAAAAGAAAATACATGGAGTACAATTTTAAAATGCGGTGATCGTAAAAAAGATTATGTATTAATGAAACCAGGCTTTAATTTGCTTTAAGATGCATCAAAGAAACCAAAACATAATTAGTTCACAAGCTCCGTGTTCAAGTTTCAACAGGCTTTATATATATATATATTTTAGTACAATAAAAGAGGCTAAAAAGCCTAAATTACTCAAGTACCACACACGGAGCGTAATACAAAATAACAATAGTGACTTTAAAAGATAAATCCTAACAAATTAAAATGCTAATATTCAAGTCAATCCCTTGATAGTTCCAATCCCTTGACCAAATTTGTCCCGTCATTAATAATGGTTGATTGTGTGCTTACTACATGTTTCTAGAATTGTACGGTTCCCAAAACAACCAAAATATAAATACCATCCAAATTCGCCGTACCAAAGGAAGACTCAATTAAAAGAGAGTCAAACAACTCATGGACTTTTACTACACCCAAAAGCCCCAAAATTATTCCATTAGTAATTTCTGTTAAACACTGGCAATACAAAATTTGCCGCCTTTGAATCAAAATCTATGATTACAGACGCAGAGTAACCAGCGGAACACCAATCATCATCTATTTCTTCCTCCTCCTTTCTTCCCGAATCCAAATTCTTTTGCAGTCACGGAGTTCTTCTTCGATTACATTCGTTACACCTTTATTGTACCAAGTAAAGAAAACCCAATTCATCAGAACGTGACGACTGAGAAAGGGGTGGCGGTGGAGGTAGACAAGCACCGTATCCCATCCCCTCACGGCGGAAGGGGTGCCCTACCTTCTGAAGGCGGTTGTCCATCTGATCTCCTCTTTCTTGCCGGCGGCGGCATTAAATTGCACCGACCCTTTTTCACCCCCCTGTAGACTGTAGTTTAATTTCATTCTTTCTGTGATTAAATTGATTGCTAATTGTTGGTATTATAAATTCGTATAATGTTGACTATAAAGAAAGTTCCAACGCTGGTCTCCAACTATCAAGAGGATCAGAATTCTGATGGTAATTGTAATCAACCAGACTCCACCGCCAATGTTGGAGCCACGGGATGCGGCCGTAATTGCCTCGGGAACTGCTGTTTACCTGGTATTTTTCCATCATGCCTAATGCTCGTTCTTTTGTTTTCATTCAATGATTTTCTTCAAGAATGTTCTGTTCTTTGTTGAATCATTAGAATTTTGTTCATGGGCTTGTGATTGAAAAGAAGCCCTGTTTTGGGTTGAGCTTGAGCATACTCTTTTCCTCCCTTTTATTTTGTTGTCATGTCATCTGTCTTGATTCTTGCTATATAGATTTCATCAATTGGCTTTGCTAGCTTAAATCTTGTATCTTGGTGGGTTTTGCTTTAAAGTAAGAAAATGAGATTTGATTTGGTTCGAACTTCAAAGAGTAGCGAAAATTTTCAGATAATGATCCATTTCAACATTGTCTTCTCCATGTGCTGATAATTTTCCCACTTTTTTTTTTTATAAAATAGTTTCCCAGCTACCTTTATATGCGTTCAAGGTAAATGAGAATGATTTGGATAAGAAATCTACCTATTCCTGCAATGGAGTATCTCCAATGTGCTTTTTAAACAACTTACTATTGGGGCAATGGGAAGATAGAATGAGAAGAGGCCTCTTTCGGTATGATGTAACAGCCTGTGAGACAAAGGTCATTCCAGGAAGATATGGTTTTATAGCCCAACTCAATGAAGGGCGTCACCTGAAGAAAAGGCCAACTGAATTTCGCGTAGACCAGGTTCTGCAGCCCTTTGATGAGAAGAAGTTCAACTTCACTAAGGTCGGCCAAGAAGAAGTGCTGTTTAGGTTTGAACCAAGCAAAGACGATATGTCTCTTTTCTTTCCTGCCCATCCAGTTGATGCTGGTTCGAGTTCCCCGAGTGTAGTTGCTATTAATGTAAGTACTTAAAGCTTTCTAACATTGTAGTATGATTTTAGCTTTAAACATAGTTGTTGGTGCTAATTAATCATACCTATATGTCTTTCAGGTTAGTCCAATCGAATATGGGCATGTGCTTCTTATACCTTGTGTCCTTGATTGCTTACCGCAGAGAATTGATCATGAGAGCTTTCTTCTTGCTCTTAATTTTGCCAAAGAAGCTGCAGATCCTTTCTTTAGAGTTGGTTATAACAGTTTGGGTGCCTTTGCCACCATTAATCATCTTCACTTTCAGGTAGTATTGAGATTAATTGTTCTGGTGAACCTCTGTATATGAAGAAATAGATGTCTCAAATGTTCTTCTGGCTTATTCTTAGTAAAAAATTTGAATATCGAATCTTTGGCAGGCGTATTACTTGTCAGTGACTTTCCCAGTGGAGAAAGCACCAACCAGCAGAATAATGAGCCGGAAGGGATTGCATGGTTCCGAGTTAGTGGTCTCTGAGCTGCAGGATTATCCTGTTCGAGGCCTCGTGTTTGAGGGTGGAAGCACGCCTCGTGATTTATCCGATGCTGTTGCAAATTCGTGCATCTGTCTGCAGCAGAATAACATTCCGTTTAATGTTCTAATCACAGATTGTGGTAGGAAAGTCTTCTTGCTCCCACAGGTATAAGCTTACTAAATTAAGACTTTTTGTCTATATTAGTAAGTGTCTTGTCATCTGGAACAGAAGTTGTTGATCTTGGCAGTCTCTGTTGATGAAATACGTTTTCAGTGTTATGCGGAGAGACAAGCTCTTGGTGAAGTAAGCCAGGAGCTTTTGGAGACTCAAGTGAATCCAGCAGTTTGGGAGATCAGTGGGCATATGGTACTCAAGAGGAGAAAAGATTATGATGATGCCTCGGAGGAGCGAGCGTGGAAACTTCTCTCCGAAGTGTCATTGCCGGAGGCGAGGTTCGAAAAGGTGAAGGCCTGTGTGTCTACATCAGCCGGTATTCAGCTAGGACCGGATAATCGCAGCTTGGACATGAAAGAAGGTCCCTATGATTCCCAAACACCTCCAGTTGCCTCACATCTGCATCAAAGATGTTTAGTCACCAGCAGTCTTGCAAGTACTTTGTAGCTTATATACAGTAGTTTAAGGTTTTCCCCTTGTTCCGCCGGAAATTTGAACTCTGTTGTGTGTTTTGTACGTGGTCAATAACGTTTACTTGGTAGCTAGGTATGCTTTTGATGGTTATCATAAAACTGAAAAAGTGCTATAACCTCAGATGAGCCCTCTTCTTTTGCAATGCCTTAAGGGATTTGGCTTGCATCTTTCAACCTTTCGAGACAAAATGGACTTCGATTGCGTTGGTTTTCACACTGGATTTTGTGGGGGGTTTTTCTAATTTCCACTTTTGCTTTCAGCGGTTCTCTACCTCTGCTTGATGTTACAAATGCCAGAAAATATGTCATAATCTGTTTGGAAAAGAAATAGTACTTGTGTGGGTGTGGCCCAAAAGTGGTCAATGAATCCGCTTATATGACAGGAAAATGGTGTTAGTAAAATTTTAAAGCAGCTTTAAGTTGACAAACTATCCAGGTCAAACTAATGTCCGTACAAGTGCAATATTCTCAGCTCCGAGGATATTCCCATTCCCACCAAACCAAAGTCCAAACAAACTCAAGATACCCCCGAGAGTTGTTGAATCGGGTTTTTTAGTCTAATTGTTTCCCCTAATGTTCCTAATTTACTGAAGTCAGCAGAGATGTTGACCGGAGTTTGGCGGTCTTTTCCATTTATTAATCTGTTTTTGTTATTGGAGTCTAACCACCGTGGGTGGGGCCGGGGCCTATGCAGTGTCACCCAGGAATTGAATTATGCGTACTAAAAAAAGACCATATATGTATGTTACCCGGAAAGAAAAAAAAAAAAAAAGGAAGACAATAAAATAGACGAAGATCATTAGAAGCAAAAATTTTATGTCTAAGTTCAAATCAAAAACTTTCTTTGTTGCGTCTGCAAGTCTCAGCAATGACGGCAAAACCAGACCGAAAGTGCCGCCGCAAGAAATGATCGCCCATAATCGTGGGATTACCGGTGAGAAAGAGTGGATATAACCCGGCACCACATTTTTCTCCTCTACAACTTTTCAACTTCTAGAAGTGCAAAATGATGCAAAGAAAACCCATCAATATCTTAGTGTGCCGGAATTGTGTCGCCCAATTATGTTCATTCAACATTCAAATAGCATCCACGACTTCTACGCAATTCTCCCGAGTGGTTACCAGAACATAAGTTTTTTTTTTTTGTTTTTTTATAAGAGAGAGAGAGAGAGAAGATTATCATGTGTGACAGAATATGCTTATGCTTTGGTCCAGCTTTGAATATGGTTTCGTGAACCTGATGAAAGGGTCTATCGAGATTTCTCGAGACTGAAGCAAAGGTGATCCTATTTCTCACGTTGAAGCATACTTGTTGGTAGTACTGCGTAATATTATGGCACACATTTTACGGAACGTTGTTTTCTCGAATCCAAATGGCAAAGGCCGAAAGAGTTTTTTTTTTTTTTTTTTTGTCTGCCACGGTTTTCGAAACTTTGCCCCGACTAATTCGTTGATCGACCCGAGTTGCACACCTGGCTGTGGTGGGTAATTCTCCCAACAAGAGTGTTTTGCATCCACAAGGTTTCGAACCCGAGACCTTCCTTAAACGACATCAAGCCGAAAGAGCTTTTAATTTGCTAGTCCGTAGTATTCATGTTGACGCAACTAATCATGTGCACATTCTACAGAGTTTTAAAGGTTTTTATACTTAACAAAACTATTCACGCAAAGACATCCTTCCTTACAATCCACATCCCCAAAAGGGAGGACCAGAATCCACTTCGAAAAACTTGCCCGCGGGATTAGGCATCTTCAAAACTAACCAATTTAACTAATTTCTTTTATACTACTACTAATCAGTGATTCCCAATATTCGTCCTTTTCTTCACTCAAATTACAAAAAATAAAAAATAAAAAATAAAAAAATTCTACCAATGAAAATAGTTTAGAAAACCACTTGGTTGTAGAATTTGACTGGGAACTTTTTAAAAACGATTTGAATACACGACTTGAGCAAACAAGTTGGAAGTGAAATTGTTTTTTCTTTTTCCAAAGGAGGGAGAATTGAAAATACAGAAAACAAGAAAGCGATATATTGATAGGGGTTAGTAGGGAGTCGTCTTCCATAGAGAGACCTATGGAAGTTGATCATAATAAAGGCAAACGAAAAAACGCGTTTATTTTCTGGTTACTACTGCGGCGTGTGGATCATGGCAAATTGACATCAATGAGAATCATCATCACATCCATCCATACACGAGAAAGAGAGACTTCATGAGAAGAACCACCACAAAAAGAATACACACAGTCACGCACTCTCAATTAATCACAGCCAAAAAGAAAAAAGTAAACACACACATTCATCGCATGACATGACAGCAAATATTGCCGCATTAATTGCGAATTCGAAATTTAAACTATTATTATAGAGTACGTACGAATAATTCCACCGCCGTTTCAATTTTGCTGCATCCACATGGAAACAATCCACAAGAATTATCAACGCTTTACAGGCCGGCCTGACTTCCTACTTCCTACCTATTTGGTAACACTACTATTCGTGGTTAACAGCCTGAACAGCAGCAGCAGTCTGGAATATTTCTGCATCTATTCTCCATAAATTGGATACTAAATGCCACTAAAACTAGTAGTACTACTGATTGAAAAGCAAGTGAGAAGGAGAAAGAATTCACAGAATTGAGTGAGTGATTAAGAAGAAACCTAGACTGATTTTTTTTGGCTAATTCAGTTGAGTTGTTAACACAAATCAAAGGCAACCGCTGGTGAATCCTCCTTCAATTTCCGCCGCCCATCATCTTCTTGAACTCCTCGAAATTAACGCAACCGTCGCCGTCAACGTCTACGTTCTTAATCATCTTGCGGCAATCTTTAAGGGAGCACTTCTCGCCGAGGTTCCGGAGCACCGAATACAACTCCGTGGCGGAGATCTTGCCGTTCTTGTCCTTGTCGTACATCTCGAAAGCCTCCCGGAGTTCCTGGTTGGTTGCGATCTGGCTACCGGCGCCGGCCATGTAGAAAGCCTCAAACTCCTTCAGGTCGATGAAACCGTCGCCGTCGGTGTCGATCTCCTTCATCACTTTTTTCGCTTCGTCGGCGGAAGTTTCGGTACCTAGTGCACCGAGAATCATGGTGAGTTCAGATGTGGAGATTTTGCCGTCGCCATTGGCGTCAAACTTGTTGAAAACCTTCTTAATTTGATCCATCTCTTTTAGAGTTCACGATTTCCAGAGCAGCAAAAGCAAGAGAGAGAGAGAGAGAGGAAAAAAACTGCGCCTTCGATAACGGAAGAAGAGAGAGTAACAAGAAGAAGACCAATATAGAATAGGGTTAAATTTTAGCTTTGAGGATTGGGGGTGGAGTATTTATATAAAGGAGGAATAGAAAATCAAGAAAAGGAAATTATTGTGACTCAACGCGGAAATATAATGAGAGCAGCAGAAACGCGTATAAAAGAGGATCCGTTGGAAATCACGCGTTGAGTAGGAATAACTATCGAGTATCCTGGTGTCATGTCTCTCTTATTTGCTTACGCAAACTACCAAATTTTTGCCCATAATTATATTTTCCATACATAATTATGGAGTATGCCCCAATATTATCAGCTATAAAATCACTAATCTCTTTTCACAAATATCTCAATTTATGACAAATAGATACACTATTAGTTAGTCAACAAACGTCAAGGTTTAAATAACACGTCCTCAGATATATTGTGGAGTCCACAAACCTTAAAAATATATTTTTCACATTTGTTATGTAACCTTAATTATTATGAAATGTTTTAAAGTTTTTATTCCGATTAAAAAGACATCCTAGATGAAACTTAAGACGAAATTAAAATGTCTTATAATAAATAGTATTATGTTGATGACGTTACGGGGAATAGCCGAATAGGATGGATTCCAAGGAAGAGGCGGTTGGAGATGGTGACGGTTACCTGTCATCGCGTGGGAAAAGCTCTGTCAAAGGCGTGAACGATTGATTAATAACGGATCCACAACGGGGGAATAATTGGGCTTTGGGTTTGGTGGGACTAATTTCACATGGATCAGTTACACACACTTGAAGTTGGCCGAATGATCTGTGGAATTTTTCTGGCCAGTCAATTGGCCAACCCCGACAAGTCAGAAAGACTTTTAATTAATTTTTTATTTATAATTGGGTCATCACATTTCACAGGAACTTGATCGCTTGAAATTATCTAGTGGAGTAGGAGTACTACTTAAAAAGTCAACTTATTGTTAATTGATCGGTTTAGAGTGGTTAACACTACTACTATTGCTAACACCACTGTGTTCTTGTAACATTACCAGAAGAAGATCATATATTCATCATTTTATTAACGTACCGCCCTTGTTTCAATGCAAATGTTGTACTACTAAAATAATTGATCAAAGTCAGACTATTATTTACAACAAATAGCATTGTGAATGATCAAGTGCATATTTGCTTATCATTCTAATTCCCAAAGTTAATGCCATGCATCAAGATACCATCTCTGTACTAATGGATATTTATTTCATTTTAGCTGTTTTTTAGAAGTTTTGTTTACCATTTCTTAGAACCAAATCAAACGTTTATCGGAATCTTAAAACTTAAAATCAGTTGCCAATGGACAGTAGTCACAAACAAACAACTATTACGGCTAATCCTGCTGACCATGGGCCCAACACCACAATAAACCCACCTACCTTACTAGATTAAGCAAAAAGATGAAGGAAACAGTTCGAAATTTTATTAACGGGCTTTTCGTAGTGTAGAAATGAAGAAAGTCTATCAAATACATTTTGGACTGAGAATGGGCCTTGGACTTAACTACAGTAATCACAACATACCAGTCCAAAAAGAGAGGTTGCAGCTCAATTTTGGATTGTTGAGACAGTGAGACCCCACGGAAACGGTGCCACCTGGCATCCGGACCCCAGCAACAAACAGGGGATGCCGGTCCCTTGCCGGGTTTCATTACAGCTATGGAATGAATGATACCTTCATTGATGATACCTTCTGTCCTCTAAACTCTTCCCTTCCATTCCCAACCTTCCTATTGTCTTTCTCTCAGTCTCTCACAAATTTAATGGGTGTTCAAAGAGCTGCTATCTCACTCTAACTTATAGCTTGAAGCTCAACCCCAAAAAAAAAAAGTGGAAAATTGATAAATAATTACACTGTTTGTCAAAGACAAAATTTGTCGATTAAATCAATGCACATAAGGGAACAACACGCCTCACGGGTCATCAGAAGTATCGCTGATTCTAGCTGAATTTGGTGGTCATCAACGGAAACAATTCATCTCAAGCTTTGCCTTGCCCAATTGTTTCTTTTGCTTGGAATCATATACTGCCAGTAAGAAAAACAGAACCAAAAGTGTATATGGCTGTTCATTCTACTGTTTTATGCTTCAAATTCGTTTCCTTTCATCCTCAAACTTCTGGGTCTTATCGTTTCCCTGCTGCCGCCTCACGTTCCCGGGTCTCCTCTTTAGTAAAGGCTTCAGCTTTCTCTTCCCAAGTTCCGGTTACATTGCCTCGGTTCAAGCTTCAAGGTACTAATTCTCTACCTTAGTTTGGTAGGTTATCATTTTTCCAAGTGTTGCCACGAAATAGTTCTTATTATCTCATTTCCTTGAAAATAGGCTAGTAATATTCGCATGCTTTTTAGATGGTCGATAGTTTATGGTCATTCCCTTTGGATGATCTAGTAAGGGTCTAGTCTCTAGTGTTATATTGGCCATCTGTGCAAAAGAAGCGAAAGAAGGCTTAATTTGAATCTAGATTGATTTTTATGGTCTGTCCATATTACTAGCTAGTTGTTTTTACTTAGTGATCAGTAGGACTTGCATCTTCCATTTCAGGTAAAGCATTGGCAGATGGTAATGGGATGCCTGAAAAGGATGAGTCCCCTCTTGTGGTTTGCTTTGGGGAGATGCTGATTGATTTTGTCCCAACCACAAGTGGGCTGTCCTTAGCAGAAGCACCTGCATTCAAAAAGGCTCCTGGTGGTGCTCCTGCTAATGTTGCGGTTGGTATTGCTCGCCTTGGTGGCTCCTCAGCTTTCATTGGGAAGGTTTGTTACTATGCTTTGATCTGGCCTTAGTCTCCTCTCTCCACCACCCATCCACCCGCTCACACACAAAATTAAACTTTCAGCTGAATACATTTGCAGGTTGGGGAGGATGAATTTGGGTATATGCTTGCTGACATTTTAAAGGAGAACAATGTGAATAGTGAAGGGATGCGCTTTGATCCCGGTGCTCGGACAGCCTTGGCTTTTGTAACTCTGAGAAAGGACGGGGAGCGTGAGTTCATGTTCTACCGTAACCCCAGTGCTGATATGTTACTTCAAGAGACCGAGCTTGACTTTGACTTAATTAGGAAGGTATAATCTTATATCATTGTCTGAGGAGGCAAGGCTTGTTCATCCGGACTGAAATTGTTGAAGTGGTTAATTTGTTATCTATGGTTTTGTGGGAATCTAAGCATCTTTTCTTGACTCCTGACTACTGCAAGTAGTAACCACTTAGTAAAAACCCTTGTGCACTTCACTAATTAGTACCTCTGTATACTTTGGATCCTTGTGTGGTTGTGAAGATTCTTACTGCTTTAGCATTTTAGTTGTTTCTTTGCTTACATCATTTGCATTTCTCAGAAAATATTCCCCTCATTCTACTAATAACATCCCAGGCAAAGATTTTTCATTATGGTTCAATAAGCTTGATTACTGAACCATGCAAATCGGCGCATCTTGCTGCTGCAAAAGCTGCTAAAGATGCTGGTGTGATATTGTCTTATGATCCGAATCTGAGGCTTCCCCTGTGGCCATCTGCAGAAAGCGCAAGAGAAGGAATCTTAAGTATATGGGAAACTGCTGATGTAATCAAGGTTTGGCTCCCATCGAACTACTTTATTGTCTCGTATGGATTCTTTCTGTTAGATATATACTTGACCTTATAATGAAATCGATAAAATTATTTAAGTTGCAAGTTTCTTATTTTCAGTTAATTGTTCTCCCCAGATAAGTGAGGAAGAGATTACTTTCCTAACACAAGGAGAAGATCCATACGATGATTCGGTTGTTCGTAAACTGTATCATCCCAATCTTAAATTACTTCTCGTCACTGAAGGCTCTGAAGGTTGCAGGTATTACACAAAGGTATGTTTTATGATTGCTCATTCCCTATCCACTTATCTCCATCTTGTGTACATGTTAATGCATTTGTATGCTTCTCTCTGTGTTTTATCCTTACAAACTAATGCGTTTGCGGAATGAAGTTGCATTTGTGGAGTGGGGATTTGTTATAAAATAATATTGAAACATGGGCACGTAGTTTCGTGCGATGCATTGATGCTAACCTCTATCTTGCAAAATAAACCACTGTGAGCATTTCGGAAGTTGGGATCATTCTTGTCTGGTTTCAGAATCTACAAATTGCTTCCTGTGGAACCTCATTTAGATGTCTCTGTTAGATTCTCATTTTATATTTCAAGAATTGCTTATGACCACCTTATTGACGCCTACAGGAGTTCAGTGGACGAGTTAAAGGCCTAAAAGTAGATGCCGTGGACACAACAGGCGCTGGAGATGCTTTTGTAGCTGGACTTTTAGCACAACTAGCAGCTGATGTATCTCTCCTGCAGGTACCATTTGTAGCCAAACCTTTTAAAATCTTGATTGAATTCGAAATGTTGTCTTTGTTTCCACAGAGATTGTTACATTATTTAGAAAATATCAAATTGTTTTACAGGATGAGTCCCGACTTAGAGATGCTCTCAAGTTCGCTAATGCATGTGGCGCCTTGACAGTCATGGAAAGAGGCGCAATCCCTGCTCTGCCAAACAGAGAAGCTGTTCAGGATGCCCTTTTCAAATTAGCAACATAAGTTATTTGTCAACATTCTCTGCCGCCGTTTAACTACATTCATCATTCGTACCTTCTGCTAAGGTTTCTTAAGGGTTGTCGCTGCAAATAAGCTTACGATCACCATTGTAGTTATCATTTGAGAACACCTCCCAGTTACCAGAAATGTTGTACAAGAGAAAAGATAACGGAGGTGATGGTCATCTAATAGTGTCCCATTATTTGGCACTTCCATTCGAAACGTTGGATACTATTTGTAGTAGTAATGATGTAAGATCCTTCTGCATTCATTTTGTACTTGGAGCGTTGCTAAATGCTAAATAAATCTCTCTTTTGAGGAAAGACCAGTTCTTACTCTATTTTTAAATTGAATAATGATTGGTACAAGAAAAAAATGATAAGAAAATATTACAAGGAAATGATCTCACTAATTCATTGTTAAAACTTTTAAATTTTTTTTTTTTTTTTTTGTGCTGAACTTTGTGGATCGTTATCCATATATCCTACTATATTAGAAACAAAAACCTCCCTTTCAAACACTTCATATGATTGCCATGTGACATGTAGAAAATACTAAATTGTCCTTTTGTCCAACCATAGCTAAATTACCAAATTTTCCTTTGCACTTTACGTGACACGTTTTTTTTTAAAATTTTTTCTTTATGTTTCATTCAACTAGAGTGGTTTTTTAAATTGAATTGATCAATTAGGTTTTTTGTTACAAAGTGTCAATTTTGTTTTAAGCGTATACCCTTTGGATGAAGCTTATTACAAAGCTATTAAAAATCTCCAAAACTAAGTATTGATTTGGTACGACCAATGGAGAACATCAATAAATCATCTTACTAATATTTAAATTTATTAGGATGCTTTTATATTTATCTAACATTTACTTCAACACATATATTCGATTAAGCTATTTATATTTAATAAGTAACACTTATAAAACATTTCTAAAACATACATGGCGAAATACAATTTATTTTTTTTTTTTGCGAAATACAAATATTTCTATGATCACACTTATAAAACATTTCTAAATCCTTCAAACATTTCTAAAATATATCGCTCCAAATACAAAATTTTATTTTTTTCAAATATAAACATTTCTAAGATCTACAGATAGACTGGGCCAGGGTCGCGCATTGCGCGACCAGACATCACTAGTAACTTAATAAAAGAAAAACCCAGAGAGAAAAAACTGTGATAATTTTTCAATTGTCACGTAGGACTGACAATTTTTTCAATTTTTTTATTTATTAAAAAAGATTAAAAAAAAAGTTTGTATATCTTATCCATATATCACATAATAAAAGAGTTTTTTTTTTTAAAGTCAATCGCATAAATATTAAATTAACTACATAAGTTAATCTTATCTTATCACCACCAACATCTTTTAACTTTGAACTAATTTTCAAAACTTATAAATATATTACATATCAATTTTTAATATATATTATCTCTTCACATTCACCATTATTATTTATTTCGGTTTTTGTTGCCATCACAATAATTCTCTTTCCTCTTCGCTGCCACAATCAATTCCCCCTCACCCATGCGAAGATGAATCACTTGGTTAATTAGTTTCCATATTGCAAATTTTTCTTCTTCTCCTTTTTTATTTTTATTTTGAAATCTTGGTTAATTTTGAGGTACGTGCAAGAAACGCTGAAAATTAATTTTGTATGTAGTTGTCATTCTTCAAGAAGAAATACAAAGGGAGTATGTGCGATAGATTCTCATTGTTATATTTCATATTTCGAGTCCATATCCAGTGCACCCGGATATGCCGTATACCCCCACCAAACACACGCGTTGCACCCGCTTAACATTTTTCACCTTTACATTAAATGTTGTACTTGCATTTTTTTTACTGGATAATCACTATAAAATATTCGGATAATCAGGTGTAACAAGTTAGATAACTAGTACAAAGATCCTGGATAACCATTACAAACGGTTGGATATTGCTGCACATTGGATGGATAACCAGTACAAAAGTCTTCGATATTCAATGCAGAGCATTGGATAATCAGTTTACATCTTCTGGATAACCAGTTTACAACTTGTGGATAACCAGTACGACATGTTACCCCCCATGATAAACTAAACGACTCCCGCGGCTACCGGAATCGCACGTCACCAACCTGCCCCGGCTGCGCCGCCCCGCCGAACACGCCAATGTAGCTAAGGTAATCCTTTTTTCGTGTGTGTGTAAGGAGAGTGTAGTGTGTTATTGCATTAAGAGGGGACACAAATTACTTGTATAAATCCCCCATGATAAACTAAACGACCCGGCTGCGCCGCCTTTCGCGGCTGTGCCGCCCCCATGCCGAACATGACAAATTTCATAAATAGTATTTAATTGAATGAGGGTAAGTTTGCTAAATGATGGAGAACAAAAAATAAATGAGGGTCAGCTGGATAACCAGTGTAAAAATACGGACAAGGATATCCAAGAAAAATATAAAAGGAAAAAAATGAAATTTGGCAACTGGTTATCCATAATGTGCACACTGGTTATCCACTATGTCCATACTGGTTATCCAACATGTTAATAATGGTTATCCAGCTGTGTGTAACTGGTTATCCAGCTGTGTGTAACTGGTTATCCATAGTGCCAACACTGGTTATCCATATGGTGAACACTGGTTATCCACACGCGTTTAAAAAAAAAGAAAAAGAAGGATGAATTATCTAGCGAACTCACACTATTCTAAGAGAGTAAATTACACGGGCAGGGGGGTACACGGTGCCCCCGGGTGTACCAAATAATTTGACCATATTTTGTTGGAGTTCACCCAAAAGAACAATTGATCAATTATAAGGAACATTCGTAGTGGATCCACATTTATGGTATGGTTTCTTTTATATATTATCACTTTTCAGGTTTTATAAAATCACTATTTAAATTTTTTTCTCATGATTTCTTTTTTATATTATCACTTTTTAGGCTTTAATTTTCTTGCAGGTAGCCTTTGCTTTAAAATTTTAACATGCGGGAGAGTCTTGAAAAAGAGAAGTCTTTTTTTTCCCCTTTTATTTGTAATATGGAGACAAAAATATTAAAGTGAATATTTAACCATTTTATATTTTATAGATGCAGGAACAAAAATATAATTTTGTCTTTTGACTTTTCCTGTCCATAACTACGTCGGAGGGACCGTGTTTTTTTTTTTTTTAGTCAATATACATCTTTGGTCTTATTAATTGACAACAAAGTTACGGGCAGTCATGGGGTTGACCGTCCTTATAGGAAATATCAAGGGTAATTTATTTTTTGAATATAACTTGAAATATTTTTTGTCCTTCTTTTATTATTTAAAGCATGATTTTTCTACCCTGTGCAACGCACGGGTACCATCTAGTTTTAATAGTAAAGGCATATTAGTTTCCGCTTGAAAATAGCAACAACATCAAATCATGCTGAAATTGTCCTTTCACCCCGGCCATTAAGGAAGCATGGTTTGTTGCCAAGTAATAAACTACAGAACTGAATGTATCCGAACATTATGCTTTGCCATATTCTTCAGGGCCAAATTCACTTTATAAGCCCGCACGATTCACCCTGAATGTCACAGATGCTAGCTTAATATATCCCAGTTTTTTGTATCATCATTCTTAAAATCAAGACTTTAAAATGGCTGATGCAAACGAAAAGGAAGAGCATGAGAGAATCTTCAAAAGGTTTGATGCCAATGGCGATGGGAAAATCTCGGCAACAGAGCTTGGGGATGCATTGAAGACTCTGGGCAGTGTTAAAGAAGAAGAAGTCGGGCGTATGATGAAGGAAATTGACACAGATGGGGATGGCTTCATTTCCCATGATGAATTCACAGCATTTGCCGAGGCCAACAAGGGACTTATGAAGGATGTTGCCAAAGTATTTTAGTCTTCTTTTACCAACCATCATTCAGGGATTCAGAGTTCTGTTTTCTTCTTTGCTTTTCTCCTTGTTTTCGTTCAATTTTTCAGTACAATTAAAAAGTAGGCTAGGAGGTTAGAACCATTGAAAATCACTTCTTGAAGAACCCAAGTATATCCACTCTGTAAGAAGTGCAATTTTGGTACCGAGGCTTGCCTTCTAGGCTCAAGATGCTATTTTTATTTAAAGGGATTGAAGAATGTTGCACTTTTGCTGTAACAACCTGAATTTTGGTATCATCTGATTGTGATTTGATAAAAAGCATGCATACAATCTGAAACTGACAGTGCTTTAGTATTCGTTTAATCAAATGTTGACCATTAGCAAGAAGAATAATCCGGCAGTTTCATACATTACTTAATTACAAGCACATGGTATGCTACTTAGTGTCGTCAAATTTGGTTCATTTTTTTCTGGGAAAAACCCATTTCCCGCCCCATGTGGAAGTGTGGGTTTCTTTAATTACTCGAATAGGTAATGCTGGAATTGACCAGATCATGGCCTTTCTTTTTCAATGGATGTAACTTTTGTGTAGTTATTTTTATTAATTTCACTCCCCTCCTTCATGGAGACATGGACCTATATTGATGAACCAGTTGTGAACCTGCTGCTACTGAATGGGAGTGAATGAATGACAGGGAAATGCAAATTAAAAGAGTGTACTCAAAAGTAGATGGTTTAGGTTGGGAAGGGTTAAAGCCATGAAAATAGAATGCTAGTATAATCAGACATTGGCCTCAGGTGGCAGCTGATACTTGAAACAAGTTCTTCTTGCCCTTGCTGTAAAAATCAGAGTCTAACTCAGGGATGAAAAATTCGCCATAAGGCCTATGAGAGAGGGACTTCTTGCTGTAATATACTCAAAGATCTGTAGGCTGAGCAAACACATTTCCAAATCTCATTCTATTATGTTTTAAAATTCAATCCATCAATCAAATGGACAGCATCTTTCCCTCAGAAAGGAGTGAATGCAGTCAAACAGCTCATGAGACTGGCTGCCATTTCCTATACAAATGTTACTGTAAACTAATCTTCTCAGAATCGGGTATATCTCCACTGTTTAAGGGTATACGCTCCTTGTCTCTACACAAGGATCCGATTTTGACATCTCCTATTCTCTTTTCCCTCCCCAATCTTACTTACCAACTTACCACCCCTCCTAAAAAACTAAGAAAATTGTGAAAAACTAAGCAGTTCTAAGACCTAAATATACTCTCAAAATGCAATTCCGGAATGCTTATGAGAGTCTGTTACTCAAGATGCTTCTGTTTCATCTGCAGTACAGATGATCATCGTCCTCTAACTCTGAAACTCCAAGCATAGCTAAAGCTAAGTGACTCTTCATTTCGCTTTTTGTCTGATGAATCTGTGCATAGTCACCAGCCAAAGTATTAGCTGCCAAATTGGACCTCTTTCTGTTTAGGCTGTTAGACTTTGATCCTCTTAATATTGAAATAATCTCGTCAATGCTGGACCTCCTCGATTCTTCATTATGTATGCAGGCTGCTGCAGCTTGAACCATCTGGGATACATGATTTGAGTGTCTTTGAGGAAGCTTAAGTCGTGGATCAAGCAATTTTTCAAGAGAGCCTTGCTGTAGTAAAGGCTTTGCCTGAAACAAGGAGAAACTATTCAGTATTCTTGTGTTTGATTAATGAAGAAACAAGAATGATAAAAAGAAACAGCATCATTTTAGCTGTTCAGTAAGAATGGAGAAAGTACAGGAATAAAACTGTTTAACTGCCTAATATATTGATTGGATAAACGAAACTTAGCCTTTCTCCTAAAACAATTTTATAGTTTATCCAAAACTGACCAATGCCCCAACGACTGATCAAGCCTTCCTAGCACAAAATATAACTGAAAGCAATATATTCTGTCCTCGTCAAAAACCATTGTGATCGTGAAATACGATTTAAGGTCAATAAAGTTTTCCCAATCTTTTTGCCTTATCAACAGAATACGCACAAAAGCTCAAGCTAAATTCAATACATACTAGGTAGGGTATGATGTATTAGTAGGTGGAACTAGTTCTGACTTAGTATATTTAAGATCTGTTACAAATAACAATTTCAAAGCATATGAATAGTGGAATATATTGAGCCAGCCAGCTAATGAGACAGTTTTTGAAATAATATCCTTTGTGTTAGTTGATGAAAGATACGGCATAACTAACAGAAGATGAAGTAACAAAATGAATAATTACTCACCCACAGCACCAAATTCTCCTCTCCAGGCCCTCTTTTGGACTCAATTGGTTTTCTGCCAGTTAATAGTTCCAAAAGAACTACCCCAAAAGCATAAACATCAGTCTTATCAGACACTTTACCATGCTGAAAATATTCAGGAGCCAAGTACCTGTCAATCATTCAGTCCGAGAAAAACATCATTATCAGTTTCAAATGAACATTTGTCGGTGATAGTTCTTAGCAATTTTATTGAATTCAAGATCATACCCAAATGTTCCTTTTACAGTCTTGCAGAGGAAAGGCACTGAAGGTGCAGGAGTCCATGTAGCTAATCCAAAGTCACAGAGCTGCATAAAACATTCGCAAAATTTAAATTTACCACAAAATTACAAAAATTTACAGTAGGTACAACTAATTTTGTTTGCAGTAAGGAAAAGTAGGAGCAAGTGGACAAAAGAATAAAGTTTCTTCCAACCTTAGGTGTCTTCCTGGAAGAAAGAAGGATGTTTGAAGGCTTGATGTCCCTATGAACAATGCATCTTTCTGTCCCATTATGTAAATAACTAATAGCCTCCGCAATACCAACAGCAACCCTATACCTCACTGACCATGGCAGAGCAGGACCACCCTTAGATCCCCTTCTCTTCTCTGCAGATGAAATTTTCAGGAATCATTCAGAGACTTGAAACAATCATATAATACAGGATTTCACACAGAACAAATAAGAAATCATACCATGCAAATACCGCTCCAAGCTTCCTCCAGAGACATATTTGTAGACCAAATACAGACCCTCTTCAGCATCCATACAAAAACCCACAAGAGGAACAATATATGGATTGTGAAGGGAACTGGCAATCATCAATTCTCTGCAGAATGCTTTGGAGGCTTCCTTGTCTTCCTTATCCAACCGCTTAATTGCCACAGCAGTTCTTAAAAATCCAACTCTTCCTCTAAAAACATAGCTTAATGCACCTCTCCCCAAAACTCTACCTAGACAACAAAAATTCAACAAGATCGGAAACGTCATAATCAAAATGTATATTTTTATCACCCCAAAATTAAAAAATAAGATTAAAAAAATCAGGAACCAGGGCTTTAAACAGAAAACAATTTACCTTTGGAGAAATTCCGAGTAGCAGCAACGATTTCAGCATAGCTGAACCTAATCAAAGAATGTGCAATAGGAGAAATTCTCCTCTCCAGAGACTCAATTCTTTTCCATTTCAACTCTCTTGACCGGGAATCAACTGCCCCATCATCCAAATTCACCATCAAAACGGTAGCAGAGGAGCTATTCACACTCATTGACTCCAGCTCCACCTGAGAGCACAGACTAAACCTGAAAGAGGAATGAACCGTATGCGGCTCAGTGCTGTTCATCTCTGCCCCACAACCGCCAGACTCCGCCAACAACCAAGCCTTATTATGCTCCAAATTATTCCCACCCTTTCCATTTCCCTCCTCATCATCATCGCCGGAGCGTCGCCGCCGGGGACCCGGAACAAAACAGCCAAACCCGAAATCCCAAATCATTTTGTACAGCAAAGACTTCATTTTTAGCTCATCGTCGTCGTAATGAAACAAGTGATCATCATCGTCGTCAGGTTTGGACAAAGCTACAGTCTTTGAGGAGGAAAATGAGCTATGAACAGGGACTATAGAGTTGGCAAAATTACTTCGGGAAAACCCCATTATAAGTGCGGATCTCTAAAAGTAGACACAGAAACCCAGAAACCAAAAAAAAAAAAAAGATAGAAAGAATAAAGAAAAAAGGTGAAAGGGAGCCACAAAAAAGGTTGCAACTTTGCTTGAAGGGTGGGAGAGAAATAAAATTAAACAAAACTACACACACTCACACAGTACAGAAACCAACACAAAAAGGAGTCGTCTTGGGCAATGTATATAGTAAGTACATTTACTCAAAGCATAAAAGGGAAGAGCAATGGAGGTGAGGTACTAATTTAATACTAGGAATACTACTTTTTTGGGTTAATAATGGGAGAAGGTGAGAGATGGTCCCAAAAAGCCAAGTAAGAAGAAACCGACTGGGATAAATGAATAAGTTGATGAAAATTCAATGACATTATACATATATATATATATATATATATACACACTAATAAAAACAAGGCCAAGATATGTATGAAATGACTGATTTCTTTGAGCTTAAACAGATAGAGAAAAAGGGTGGAAATCCTGTGTGTAAATGCTTATCGAGACAAACAAAAACCAGAACCGACGGAATTGTACGGTTTGTTGCTTTTGGCTAATCGGTCGCCAATAATTATCAAACTGATGATGATGATGATGAATGCCAATAAGTAGGAAGGACCAAGGGGGAGAAATGTATTTATTTATGTAATATGGCCTATTAGTTTTGGGATAATTAAATATTTTTTTAAAAAAAGGAAAAATTCAGAATATAATTGATGAAGGTGAACTAATTATTACCTTCTTTTGGTAAGAAAAGAAAAGGGAGTTTCAAACTTCAAAGGGACGGCTGTGACTATATAGAATCCGTCTAAAGACTATTAATCATCAACATTTGAGGAAAAGGGGAAGTTTGGAGTTGGGGAGTTTTCTTTTTCTTTTTTCTATGTGGGGGATATGAAATTATTGGAAATAATTAAATTATGATGAGATATGGTTAGGCTCATGATTATTATTATTTTCATCAAATGAGAAAAATTCAGACCAATAAAACAAATTATGGTGTGTGACTGACTGTGTGTTGTTTGGTGACCATCCAATTTGTGCTACTCCTACCTTGTCAATCAATTTTCTTTCACTTCTGATTCCCCCAACGACCACCATTGACAGCCTTCTCATTCATCATAGGTTTATCTTTGTCATCAGTTTGTTGTTATAAGACGATTTGATTCTTTTGCCTAAAACCAGATTTTTGGATCAAGATGAAATCCCTTTTGGTTTGGTGTGAATTCTTACAACATGGGTTAGTATTTATTGTTTAGTATTGCTTATTTAATGGTTCAGTCCTATAAAAATAATTCACTTTACAATATGTGAATTATATTTTAGCTGTCATATGTTTCTTTCAAGTGGAACAAGTATGATGTAATTGGTGGAGTCAAAATCAAAGTGTACAACATGGATAGGTTTACATGATCGAAGTGATTTCCATTTTTGTACCAAATAAAAAAAAAGTGATTTCCATTTTTATGTTTCTAGTTTTTATCAAATACTTGTTACTCCTACTTCTCAATAAGATAATGATTGGTACAAGGAAAAAATATAAGGAAATGATCTCACACGTCCATTGTTAAAACTTTTCAAACAAAGTTTATGCATTTAAGGCTAGGATAGTTAAAATCTTGACACGTTATTCCTCGTCATTTTTCCCTTTACCTATCACTACTCTTTTCAATATCATAGCAAACCACTTGTTATCAATTAGTTCCAAAAATACGAGTTTCAGAAATTATTTAAACAGATTGTGAAATGACACTAACACATAATTACAATACTTTTAAGGGAATTAGAAGGGGAATTGGCCTTCTTTTTCTTCTTTTTCTTCTTTTTCGTTTTCTTTCTAAAACGAAATGAAGTTTCTAACTATCCATTTCTGGAAAACCCTCTTGTTAATTGTTAGTCATTAGTTTATTTATTGAGAGATTTCGGCCAATTTCCGCAACTGTCTACTGCATGCCCATATCGATCGACCCAAAAACAAACTAATCGTATAATAAAAAAAATGCTGCATCATTTAATGTGTTAACACAAATTGATGAATCTGAAACCGTCAGCACAAATTCATCAGATACTTATAAAAAAAGGTTTTAAATTGATGCATGTCATTTTCTTCTGAGTTTTTTTTTTTTTTTTTCCCCTCTAAAAAGTCTAGCAAAACTTGACTTATTGGACTATACAATTCAAACTTAGCCACATGACCGATTGCAGATTCCATGGAAATTTTTAGTCCAAATTATTTTCCAGAAACAAGTAAATTTTGGAGCTGAAATAAACAAATAAATAACAAAACATTTTATAATTGGAACAGGAAGAAAAACAGACTAACAGAAATCTCTGGAGTAGTATTTCTCACTCAAGTTAGCAAGTTGATCAAGTTTCATGACAACTTAATTTACTTGTCATAAGATAATGAATGGCAAATTTAAGATGAAAGTCATTTTCAGGTCCTGCTTCATGGCTTTGCAATTTGCACCAATTGGATTAATTAATTCACAACCTCGTGCGCTCCAAAAATAGTACTCCTTCCGTCCCATAATTATTGTCCAATTTTACTAAAATGAAAGTTTTTTTTTAGTCAAACTTAACTATATTTTACCTTGAACAACCGGATATACCCCTATATAAGTAATTGTTTAACCACAAAGATTTTATGGATAATATTTTTTACTAAAGACAAATGTGTAACTTGATCTATAAAAAGTCAAATTGGACAATAATTTTGGGACAAAATTTTTTGTACAAAGTGGACAATAATTATGGGACGAAAGGAGTAGTTTCTTACTTAGTCGTTGTAGATAATGAAACTGAAAGTACAAATTAAATTTAAATAGTGATATTTGTTTCAACTTCAAATTACATGCAACAAAATATTTTTGTTACCTCCTCTTCTCCTCAAACCCTTAATTCGTGATCTCCTTGGCAATACTTGCGGGTTCAATGTACACTGTCCAAGAATAAGCAATTGTTATAAATCTATATATTATATTTGAAATTTAGAGTTTTCATATAATAAATAGTGATGTATACTTATTCGGATCTGAATTTTAGTGTGTGATAGGTTCATCATTAATTCGGGTAAATCTGTCCATTGTAAACATAATACAATAATATACTATTATAATTGGTTGTAACTTGTGTTTTACTCTCTCCATTTTGAAATATATGTCGTTTTAGGATTTGATGAATTTTTTTAAATATATGTCGTTTTCACAGATCGAGGCATATTTGACTACTTTTTACCAATATTACCCTTACATTAGAAATGAAACAGTACTTATAATGAATTTTTATTGGTTTATGATGGATTGTATAGACAATAAATAAGGATATTTTTGTATTTTAATTACATTAATTAATATTTTCTCGATTTTGATAATTTCTCTAGAAAAACATATAAAAAAAATAAGGGGAGTAAATTTTTTCCCCCCTTTGTATTGCCAGTTATAGTTGGACGATTTTCAACAAATGAATAAAATTTGTCTCTTTTTCCTAAAAATGCACACTCCTATATAAAAACTAAATCACCCTATACAAGTCTCAGTCCGCTATCTAATAACTACTAAATTGTAAAAACTAGATCGCTCAATAGAAATCTCAAGTAACATACTCATTTGATGAACGAATATTTCAAGAAAATAGGCAAAGGAAGTTGCTTCGAATTCTTTAAAAATGAAAAATAAAAAATGTCACGCATCTTTAATGAATCAGAATAAGCGTTAGGCAAATCTGTCAACCTCTTTCACTAACGTTAATCAGCACTTTGGTTGATACCACATGCAATATGGGGGGCATTGACGTAACGAATTTTGGGGGCAAAGCATGAAATGTATTTTTGTAATTATTCCAGGTATCTGTACCCCGACATGATGACGGTTGATGATATTGATCAACTATGCATTGTACGAAATATTTTTTTGGCACGCATCATTTCAATTATATGTATATCAGCTAAATTGTTCTTATGAGCCTTTGAGGGATCGATACTCAAAAGAAAATGGAGAATTAATTGTATTTTCTTTTAAAAGGAAAAAATTTGGACTGAAATAAAACCGAATTAAAATAAACAACTTATTTCTTCAGGGCGGAGACAAACACATGAAACTCTAGTCGCATCGTGTTCCATTTATAGTTTCAATTTATTATATATATATAATAATAATAATAATTAACCACGAAAGTTAGCCATCTGAGAAATGTGACAACTAGTCTCAATGTCCAATATTATACCACTAACCAAGCCAGCATTGGTTCCAACTGTGTCTACTTGGATCAGAACAATCAGCACCCTAAAACAGTATTGAACAATGACCAAAAAAAAAAAAAAAAAAATCTATCTATTTCAGGAGCCATAACCCATAATAATCACGAATCAATCCCTTGTTCACCATATAGATCGCCAAAATCAACCGCCAAACATATAACCGACTTCGCAATAACTTCGTTCTCTGTTATGGCACGAAATACAGTAGTTTGTTGAGCTATATTTATGATATATATATGCGACATGTTCAATAATGAGCCTCATTTCTTCTTTTAGCAAACAAATGCTATCATCAAATTTAACCATACAGTTGGCACTTTTTATCTCACTGACAAATAAAACCGTTGAGTAGTAATCTCGAATTATAATTAAACGATAATAAAAATAAAAATCTGTCGCCACATAGGAGTATATATAGTTTCGTCCTCCTCAAGCTGTCCCTTTTCACAAGGCTTAAATTCGCGAACCTTTGACAAATTAAGAAGATGGTTTCATACTTTAGTATTGGCTTGTAATGGAGCCATTGAAAAAGAAGGCACTAGATGAAGTTTGTTGGTAGGATTTTTTGGTGAGGTAGGTTATTCCCTTAATTTATCGAATAATAATACTAGTTCATAAAACAATAATATAACTTGGGAAAAACTGAATCGATTAAAATCTGGGATGCCCACGTGTGACTGTGTGAGTGAACATGGCTCCCTAATAAAACCTTGGCCCTACTTAAGATTAGATTAGGAGATTCGGTACTTAAAACAACAGAATATATGTATATGAAGTATATGTACATGTACATCGATATGTATATGCATGATTGAATGTTAAATGGAGTGTATTATGTTTGTATCATTAGTTGGCTTGTCGTGTCGTATGATGATTAACATGCCTAAAGAAAACATCATCGTTCTCGTAAATTATTATGTTTGCAAGATGTTTTTCATTTCTGAAGTTAATGTTGAATTTTTCACTTGTGGACTTGTTATGTTTCTTCTTTCATTTTCTCTCGTGAAATACTCCCTCCATCCCATAATTGTTGTCCAGTTTGAGTTTTTATTTTTAGTTTAAATTGTACTAAAAGTGAAATCTCAAACTGAACAATAATTTTGGGACAGAAGGGGTATTAAGTATGTATTTAAAATTATTATTCTAACTAATTTAGATTCTATCCGAGCAAACTAATCTCTTTTGAAAACCAAAATCATTCAATAAATATTTTAATCACTACTATATACAATATGTTCATACCGTACTTTGAAGAGTTGAACTCGATCGGATCATACTTGTTTTGCTTTCGTATGCTCCGGTTCTTTCTTTTTCTTTTTTTTTAAGGCTCCGGGTCTGTTATATTTCCGGTGTTAGAGACTTCCTTCCG